TTTTTTTTTTTTTTTTTTTTTTTTTTTTTTTTTTTTTTGGTAAAGGGTGATGCCCTTGAGATATCCGTGAGCTGACCGGTCCCAGGCAATTCATAAACATTTTGTTGTTTTTACTCGGCGCGTAGAATCATCTGGATTCAAACTTAAGTCTGTGTATTTCAACACTTCATGGGTGTGTACCTACTGAGCTAGGGGCTCTTGCGTGCGTGTGCCGCTCTTGTCTTGTTGTCGGTAGCAGTTGCTTCTGCCCAGGTCAGCATCGATCAATCCAGCAAATTAGAATTGAAAGTAGACGCAAAGTGAGTGGCTTGCCGCTTTCTTTCTTTCTTTCTTTCTTTCCGTCTCATTAATGAAACAAGTGAGATGCGTTGCGTAAAGTCTCTGAGGATCCCAAACAGCTCGGCGGTCGCTGGCTAGGGCGAGCGGCCGTACTTTTTTGTGGTTTCCTGCTGATCGAACATTGCTTATTATGCACGGTTGATTCTCTGAATTGGATGCAATGTGCCTTTCCTGCCTGTGGCATGCTGGGGGCATTGGATGTTATGTTCTTGTTGTTGTTGTGTCTTGTCGTTGTTTTCTTTTGGAGGATGATATATATATATATATATTTATTGGTAAGGAATTTCTTTATTTTTATTTTAATTGCCGGGAAGCGGGCCCCGACGTCCCATACAAAAATTACACAGTCCCAGGGAAATTCAGAGTCGCGTCTTTGTGCGAACTTGGGTCTTTTTTCAACAGTTCATGGATGTACCAACTGAGCTAGGCACAGTTCATTCAACTTTATTGTGATTTTGCTTTGAGTTTTTGCTGATATACGTTGGCCCCTACAAGAGAGGAGGTGTGAGGTGCGGTTATTCTCGCTGAACGATTGTGCAGGCGTAAGGAATTGACGAGGATGTTTGCATGTCACACGCAACTGTCTTATCTGTTTGAGAGGGATGGTTTCCCCACATTTCTGCCCCAGGTTAACACCCCCAACTCTGAAAAGTGCATTTTTTTTTTTCTCCTGTTATTTTTTTGCCCTGTTTTATTGTTGGTCAAGGTCTGCATGTGCCAAGTGTGGTGTTTGTTGGGGTCTTGGAGATGACTGTTTTTTTTTTGTTTTTGTTTTTTTCCCCTTCTTCTGTCAATTTCACCTCACACTACCTACCTACCAATTAGGAGACGACTGTTTTGGCCAGCCCTGAAAATCTTGAAAAATGTTCAAAAATCATGAGAAATCCGGAAAACTGAAAAGAGCGGATGTTTGGCATGAAAACACACTTTTGCCTCGGAGTTGTAGGCCCTTTTTTTTTATATCCATTTTTTAATTTTTGTTTTCCGCTGTTGGTTTATGTGGTGTCTACTCTATGGACTGGTGATAAGTCTGGCATAAAGAGTGTGGGACGTTTTTGTTATAATGACCCTTAAGAAAACCTGAAAATTTAGGGCTTTGTTAACCTCTTCTTGTTTGGTACCTCCCTGATTCAAAGAGTTTCCTGGTGTATATATGCTGCGCAGCTGTGGGCACATGGGCGGGCATGCTCTGTGAGAGGATTGGATGCCTTTTTTTTTGKGGGGGGGGGGGGGAAGGGGCGGAGTATCCGGGTACAACAGTTATCAACGTCGGGGTCGAGGTGGATGTGGGTGAAAAGAGAAGTCGTGTTTGCGAGCTCTGCAGCTCGTCTGCTTGTTGGGAGAAGAACAGTGCTGTACTATCCTTCTTCCGCGTTTCGCTGCTGCTCGGGTGTGGGTGTGTCATGGTGTACATGTGTGCGGCCTTGTGCACGTCTGTTTGTTTTTTTGTTTTTTTGTTTTTTTTTGTTTTTTTGTTTGTTCGTTTGTTTGTTTGTTTGTTCGTTTGAATAAGGTGGTCCGATCGAAGGGAGCAGCACATGCTGGGAACCAGGCCCAGCGCCCCAAACATAGAGAACCTTTTTTTTTTTTTTTTTTTTTTTGTTTGTTTGTTTGTTTGTTTGTTTGTTTGTTTGTTTGTTTGTTTGTTTGTTCTGGCAGCATTAGCCAGTTTCGCTTTTTACGGCACCAACAGGAACCGGAACACCTCAACTTATGAAAGTCATTGAAGCACCACAGGTTAATAAACCTATCTTCATTTCCTATCGAACTACAACCTCCCAACTAACATACCAAGAGTCTTCAGTCAAAACCATACAGGCCAACCTTATCACCAACAGGCAAAGGTGGCAAACCTAAGCAGAAATCTACTTACCACCTACTGAATGCTCTACAATCTTCTATAAAAATGGCGTCAGAACTAAACCTAGAGAACCATTTAAACCGCCAGTACTTGGCCCAGCTATTGCTGCCATGCTGGGAAATGCCCCGCGCGCCAAGTTTTGCCGAGCCGCCGCCACGTCGTTTCCTTTCTCTTTTGGCTGGCGCCTCCAGCCATTGTGGTCTGGTAGGCCGAAGCCAATCAGTCGTGGCGCGTTAACGGGAAACGGCCGCGGCCAATGTATGGGCCAAGTACTGGTGGTTTAAGGGACGGGGGCCATAACTCGGCTTCGGCTCGTGTACCACGTGGAACAACAATGCACTGCGCAGCACAGCAGAGGGATAAGGGAAGGAGGAGGAGGAGGAGGAGGGGGTTGGACCGCTGCGTGTTCTGCCTTTGTCCATGCTGTGAAAAATTAGCGATCCTTCCAAGCCAAGAGCCCTTATGCCTACAGTATCGCTAGCACTGGTGGGTCTGTTTTTTTTTATTTTTTTTTATTTTTTTTATTTTATTTTATTGAAGCCCTTACTTCTCTACCTCCCACCTACCTCTTGGCCGTGCCATTGAGGTTCATCCAATCCATGGAAAGGGGGTGGGGAAGGGTCAGGAAAGGCGGACAAGGGGGCATAGTGGAATATCAGCACTGACCTCCATCCAATCCAGAAACTAGAGGCAGTAGTTCTTCCAGCAGGGGGTTGTGGTCCTGTTGCCCAGGGCCCTGCCAACCGTCCCACTGTACCCCTGCCATCCTACCTCCCTGTTTTAACCCCCCCCCCCCCCCCCATGTGGAAGCCAGCGATATAACCCTTGCGATATCCCTCTATCCTGGACTTGGTTTATAGAAGGTGACATTACCACAGCCTGGCGGCTGCCTCACAAGGTTATTATTTATTATTGGAATTCTGTCAGGAGAAATTGTTTGTAGAAAATGAATGAGACAATATGGGGGTGGAAGGTAGTCAGGTCTGCGGTCTGGTGGCCACGGAGGAGTGCGCGCCAGTCCCAGGCCCAGTCCATGTCGCAAGTGCGAGCGAGCGCCAGATTCACTCCCACCATCCCCCAGGACGCGATCGCCTCTGGCCATCTTTTTTTCCTCTTTTCTACCTCTTCGATGGCTCCGCGGAATGGTTATAGCTGCGGTTAATCTATGGTTTTGTTTAATTTATGTGGTTTGTCCTGGGTATAATGGTGATGACATCCGCATCACACGCAAGCTTATCGCGGAAA